CCATGTTTTTAGCATGGCCAACCCACCTAAACTACACATCTTTAGTCTGTGGGAGGAAGCCCACATAGACACAAGGAGAACTTGCAAATTCCACATGGAAAGTCACTCCAAAGCTAGCGTTGAACCCCTGTCCCTGGCCCTGTGAGGCAGTAGTGCTAACCATTGTGCCACTCTGTAGTGTCATGGAGTGTGTGTGCGTGCGTGAGGGGGCCCTGATTGGCGTATTTGTGCAGGTGTTAGAATGTGAGAATAGGTCCTGCCTCAGTGACTGCACCCTGGAACACACGAGAAGAGATCTGAACTAAGCTTAATGTTTAAGAGTTTGATGTTTAAGTTTAATATTAAGAGCCTCTTGCATTCTTCACTGCAAGCTTAGGATTCAAGTTTTAAATGTGCAGGCCAAGAATAGTATGGGTGCAATAAAGTTCTTAACTTGAGTGTGTAGATGAAGGACTGGGGGATATAGCTACAAAACCACTGACCATGAAACTGTGTCCAATCATTCCTGTTCAGTTCTGAATTCTAATCACTATCATTCCCATTTCTGAATCAGTACCTTGTCAATATTTACCTTATTCCAAGATTGAAGATCATAGCATAGGTACTATAACCCTGTTTGTTGGCCTGCCTTTCAATGAGAAACAAAACCAAGGTTTCTTCTGCCTGCTCAAGCTAATGTTAGTTATGAACCCACAGCACTTAGTCATAGAGATGTACAGCACGGAAACAGACCCTTCATTCCAACTCGTCCATGCCGACCAGATATACTAAATTAATCAGTCCCTTTTGCTCCCATTTAGCCCATATCCCCCTTAGCCCTTCCTATTCATATACCCATCCAGGTGCCTTTTAAATGTTGTAATTGTACCAGCCTCCATCACTTCCTTTGGCAGCTTATTCCATACAAACACCATCCTCAGGTGAAAAAGTTGCCCCTTTGATCCCTTTTAAACATTTTACCTCTCTCCTTCAACCTATGCCTCTCGTTTTGGACTTCCCCACCCCAGGGAAAAGACCTTGCCTGTTTATCCTATCCATGCCCTTCATGATTTTATAAGCCTCTATAAGGTCACCCCTCAGCCTCCGACACTCCAGGGAAAATAGCCCCAGCCTATTCAGCCTCTCCCCACAGCTCAAACCCTCCAATCCTGGCAACATCCTTGTAAATCGTTTCTGAACCCTTTCAATTTTCATAACATCCCTCCTATAGCAGGGAGACCAGAACTGCACACGGTATTCCGATAGTGGCCTAAGCAATGTCCTGTACAGCTACAACATGACCTCCCAACTCCTATACCCAGTGCACAGACCAATAAAGGCAAGCGTACCAAATGCCTTCTGCACCACCCTGTCTACCTGCGATTTCACTTTCAAGGAATTTCAAAAGCAAAACCTTGCATAATCAAAAACAGTGAATTCCAGTTTCTTCAGTCCTCCTCTTCTAATATCTGTCAATACTGACTTTGTCATTCTGACAGACTCGTGTTTAAAAAAGAAACAGCAGGACTCCAGACAAAGACAAGCTTAAGATTTCACTATTCCCTTGAAGTTGGGACTGCCAATCAGAATTGTTAAATGTAATGTCAAAGTTTCAACAGCATTTAGACACATGACAATCGTACATTTACTGTTCTTTGAAAGGTAGAAACACAGTAGAAATACAGAATTATGTCAGACAGATGGAGATCATTCATGTCCACATTGGTTCTTTACACAAGCAATGCAAAGGTAATCTTGCTGTCTCTGTTGAATAAGATTTTGACGGGTTTAATGTTCATGTCACAGTGGTTCCATCCATTCTACTGATGAAGGTCCTGAACAAGGGTAATACCCGTAACGTTGACTGCTCCTTTCCTCCAGCTGTTGCCTGACCTGCTATGTTTTGCCAGCCTCCTGTTTGTCTACCTACTGATGTATCCCACAGTCTGTTGGTGGCAACAGGGTGTTCTACTCCAGCTTTTGGAGGGAGCAGATATATCTTCACCAGTTCCCTAAGTTTCTAAAAATTATGCCTGACCAAATATAATTGTACATATCATTATCAGGCAATAAACCTTCTTGTTATCTTAGAACAGTACCTCCTCTGTAGATACTCGACTGTGGTGTATTCTCTATCATGAATAGATAACAGGGGAGGATCGGAGACAGTGAATGACCCTTAATTACACAGTGGTTGAGGTGGAAAATGCCACAAGGTGCCAGCGGTGGTCATCTGGAAAAGTACCACACTCTTCTCATTGCCCTCTATATTTGTCTAAATTATCAAATTATTAAACATTCCCCAAAATGTTTATCCAAAATTCCTTTCACAGATGCGTCGCACACTTCGTGGACAAACATTCCACATTTCAGTAACTCCCTGCACACAAGAAATTTCTGCCTCGTGCTCCCATTAACAACTTCAACACGAGGTTGTCACAAGTGCCACCTCACAGGTTATTAATAGCTCAGTGCATAAATCTGACCGAGATGTTAGCTGGTGTCATGAGTCATGGGGAAGCCAGAGGATGTGTTAAACCAACTTTGCGTACTAAGAGTTAGCCATTCACAACCCCAAACTAATTTGGTCAAAAACAGTGGTCATTTTTGAGCTGAAAATGACTACTGATTATTCCCCTACTGTTTAACATTCTTTTCTACCGTGCTGTCACTTGGCAAATGACTTGTCTATGATTCTGAGAGAGCTGGAATTGCACTTGTCCTTTGTCAATTGGCACTTATCAAAGGGCCAGATGATGGCTTCACAATGATTGCATTAAGGACAGCGATGAGTAATGGCATTAACACCAGAAGCACACACAATGATGAAGATTCCAGAGTCACGTGCTTTAGAACTGGAAGGGAAAGTTCTAACCTAGTGTGAAGATAATGAGTGCATGGATCAAGCTGTAAATAAAGAGTTCTTGCAGAATCAATGGACCCAAGAGGCATTACCTTAGGGTCAAGCACTGTTTAGTCTCCCAGAGCAAACCAAGTGCTTTGCGATCAGTTGAGTTATAGTTTAGTATTCATAATAATAGGGACATAGGATGTGGGAGCAGGAATAGGCCATTCAGCCATTCATGCCTGTTTCATCTTTCAGGAAGGTCATGGCTGATCTATTGTGGTCTCAACTTCCCTTTCCTGTCTGTCCCCTGGAATTCTTGACTTCCTTATCTTTCAAAAGTTTTTCTCACTCAGTCTTGAATAAGTTTGTTGACGACACACCCTCCACAGCTTCCTGCAGAAGAGAATTCTGCAAACGAAAGACCTGTGAGATAAAAAGAAATTGCTGTGATCTCTGTCTTAAATGTTGGACCTCTACTTTTTAAACAGTGTTCACTCGAAAGCATCTCCTCCACAAGAGAAAACATCCCCTAGCATCAGTTCCACTATCAAACCCCCTCAGGATCCCATCTTCATCAAAAGGATCGCCTTTCATTTTTTTCTAAACTCCAGTGTGCACAGTTCCAACCTGTTCAGCCTTATTTGTAAGATAAGCTGTTCATCCCAGGAATGAGTGAAGTGCATCTTCTTTGTACTGCTTCTAAAGCACTTGAAACTTTCTCAAATGAGATCAAAACTGTACACTGTACTCCAGCTGTGGTATCACCAAATTTCTTGCAGGGGTGGTAAAACATCTATCTTGTTTTCCATTCCTCTTAGACAGGAGCCCGACATTCCATTTGCCGTGTCATTGTAGGACCCTCCCTGACATATGATTTTACCATAAAAACAATGCCCTGGCTTGATCGAGAGCCTTATCGATAATGGAGTGGCACTCTATTTGCTGAGCTCCTATGAGTCCCTGGTGGAATTGTCTTATTAATCTTACTACACTGCAAATTTGTACCCATACATGACCATCTCAATGGACTGGTTCCCTTTACTAAAGGGCATGTCACAGCCATACACAGACTGGGTTTCACTCTGTCACTTGCAAAGTCAGGGAAGAGGACTTGTAGGGTCCCGGTTGATTCCAACTAATTACATCTTCTAAATAAACGTGGTGCCTAGCCAAATGCTCAAAATGATAATCAAGTGATTATGTGACATGTTGGAGAGTAGAAAGACTGGAATTGCATCAAAGCTTCAGAAAGTTTTATCTTTGAGAGAAAAGGAACAGCATCCCTGGTGCTCAGAAATGATTTTCAGACAGCCTTTGGTGATTAGTCCATGGAAATATTGTCTCAGTCCTTTGGATTCCTTTTGTCAAGATTCCTAAATACAATGCCCATGTCACAGTGATATACCATTGACACTATTATATTTGTATCTGCTTAGACAACAGAAACTAAGTGCTTGTCAAAAATACAGCCAAAGTACTGGGGGTTGCTCGGAGATTCTGCTTTTAGTAGTTAGCTCTGCTATGTGGGTAGCACTCTGACTGACTGAAACTATGTCTGAAATTGAAACTTAAATGTTGCAGCATTCTGATTTTCATTATCCATGATCAGAATTGTTTAAATGTGCATAACATTCGCAATGTTCCAGCATTGGGAATGTACATAGCCTTTACAAATGGTGAGTGGGAGATGCGGGGTTTACTAAGAGAAAGAAACAGAAAGACGTGATGAGATCGGCACATTACTGGCTTCCAGGCCAATAGCACCATGAGGAGCTGGCTTTCTAGGCAGACTGACCTAGATGAAGAGTAATGCATAGTCAAGGAGACCAATACCAGTGTGGCGGCCACATGCATTATCCAGTTCCCCCTCAAGTGTTTGTTAAAATGTCTTGGGCTCAGGTCGAGAGGCTGATTTTTCTAAACTGCGTCTGAGCGTTAGATCTGGAAAATGAAACGAGTGATTGCTCTGATACAGACATCAGTTGTACTTTTAATTTGTAACAGAGGCATACCCTTGAGGAATGCGAGAATTAACCTAAAGCATCTATTCCAGCAATTCTTGGCCCTCATTAATTATTGCCACCAGCTGCCTGGATTTTCTAGATTTCCTGTGTTTACTTTATGAGATCAAGCAGGAATTCTTAATTTTCCTTATTCTCCATCTCTCTGCCAGACCAACAATAATCTGACGATGGTCTCTGCTGTAAACTTGACCCTATTTAATGTTGATCAGAAGGATAATGGAAAACTGCTGACATGCATCGCGGAAAACGTGGTGGGGATGACGAATGCCTCAGTGCTGTTACATGTTTACTGTAAGTATGGATTAAATGGCAGCTTTCTGCTGTAAACAGGCATGGGGGAGTTCCAACATTCGGTTACTTCTGCTTGAGGTGGACCAAATGGATTAAACGTTATACTTTAGTGAGCTTGGGCCTCAGCTTATTCTTGTGGAGGAATGACCAGACGGCACAGTTATGATTTGGGGACTGTGCAGAGTCAGGAATGTGTACACTGCATCAGCCTCTGGCTGAAGTGTCTCTTGTGGTGGTTAAAATTTTCATCTCTGTTTTATAATACTGGTCTGACCACTGATCCTTACACACTGCTTGATTTCTTAAGCCTGTGACTGGAGCTAGAGAGTCAATAGACTGCCTCTGCATGGAAGCTGCTGGAGAAAAGGCCTGGAGTTCCCTGTAAAGATTCCCTGTATACTGAAATTCTAAGACGTTTGAAGTTATAAAATACAACTGTTTGGTTTAGGTCTATAGCCAAAAATGCATTGCTCTGAGATAAATAAGACATACAATTTAATCCAAAGTTAACACATCTGAACTGTAATGAGCTTAAATGCTGTTTTCTCTTTTCAAATTTGAAGTTCCACCTCATATCAGTGAGCTAACAGAGCCTGAACAGCGACACATGCACTGTATTGAGTTCACCGTCTTCGGCAACCCCTTGCCTACCATTCATTGGTTGCACCGGGGCCACCGGTTAAATGAGACCGACTACATCAAAACCGAGGTCTATGATGAGTCGACGGACTGGCTCCATGGGTGCCTGCTCTTTGACAAACCCACCCACTACAACAACGGGAACTATACCCTTGTGGCTGAAAACAACTTGGGATTGGACACAGAGACGGTCTATGCTCATTTCCTGGGTATCCCATTTCCTGGTACGTATCCCAATTGTTTTTATCATGCATCCTGGGACACTGGCAAAAGCTTAACTCCACATGGGCCTGGGGTCTGACTAAGGGATTAGTCATCAACCCCAGAGTCTATCAGAAGCGAGACTGTTATGTGATCGTGATGGGGATAAGTTAGAGAAACCAGGGGCCTTTCTTTAGAGACTGTTTTCAAAGCAGAAAATTGCTGTATGTTTACTTTGCTTCTAATAGAATTCACTTTTAAGGATTCTATGTGCTGTGTGCATACAATGTTGCAACATGGCCTGCCAGTTAGTCTGGTCTGTGTTGGTAAACTGCACACACTCAAATTAGTTGATCTGCTGTATTGTTTGCTTCATAACCTATTATGTGCTTTACTGTTTTAGATAAACTAACCCACAGGGTTAATCAATCTCTGATGAGTGATTGATTTTTAGGCCATTGTCATCAAAGAAAGAAAATAGTTAAGGGTTTGTGTTAAGGCTGGAAAGGTCACAAAGGTTAATCCTCTGCCAAGTAGCCAGAGGGTAAGCAGAAAAGACTACAGAACTTCACAAATATCATTTTGATGGGTTTAACATAAATCCCTGAATTTGCAAACTCAATACTCTAATGCTGATTCCTTAATAATTTAAGTGTGAAAATCCTTTCTTTTGTAGTGGAGGAATAATTAAGATCAATTTTCTGTACATTAAGAGCAATTATTCGAATGAATGCTGCAACCTTAATGAGATTCTTGAAATAATGTGGGGTTATTAAGGGAGTTTCTTGGTATTTGTTGCATTCAGGGTTGTGCTGATTGCCTTAGATATCACTGCTAACTGCTACTGAACTAAGTTCATGCAAAATGACAAGCTGGAGTGCACCAAAGCAAAGCTTTCTGATCACATCCTAGGCTCTGTACCACTGAATTCTGCAATCTCTCTCTATTTAAACATTTATACTGTTCTCCTATTCTTCCTGCCAAAGTGAACAAATTTAAACTTACCTGTATGACACGTCATCCACCCCTGTTTTTACGTACTTGTTTAACCTGTCCATATCCCTTTGCAGAATATCTAACTCCTCTGGACAAATTACTTGCATTACATTGCACATTTAAGTTACTTTGGGCTTTGTTGGAGAGCCAAGTTCATTTTTGTCCCATCATTCACCAAACCAAAACTACTAAGAATACATTTTTCTCATAACTTTATGAAGATATTTCAATTTTTTTTTCAATCCAAGCAGTGCAATTTCTCAAACAGGAACTATGCATGTTTTTGTAAATCTTGCTTGAAGATAGTTGCGGTATCTCAGTACACATATTATGCAAGTGTATAATGCACATGGATGCACAGTACATGGACACCCTAGATGTATGTGTGTTTATAACCCATGTGTTTCATGGACAGGTTCACAGTGTGCAGGGCAGAGGGACACTTCAAGAGTTTGGCTTACATGAAACAATGCATAATCAATTGGACTTATATGAAACTAAATTCAGAAATTATTAAGGAGTACTGTGTGGTTACATAATTGCTTCGTGATGAGGGTTTGTGTAATTTTAGTTGTGTTGAATGCCTAAATATTGTATTTTCTGAGTTCCTTTAGTGGTATTTTCCCATATGACCAATCTTTGTACTGAATAATATTTGTCATCTCGACCAGTCTGTGGCACTGGGGGAGGATTGTTTGAGGATAGCTCACTTCTTTCAGTCCTCCTTTGTCTTAGGCCTATCTAATGATTAGTGGTAGAGAATATGCCACTGTACCTATAGAAGAGGTAATGTTCATGGATAACAATAAGGTTTATTGCCTCCTAGCATTAAGGACAACTAAATATGGTCAGGCATAGTCACTTAGATCTTAGGGAGGTATAGATACATCTGCTCACTCCAAGGGCTAGAGTAAAACTCCTGGTGTCTACCCAAAGATTGCATGCAACATCAGTAGAATGGGAGGAGCCAATGTGCCTGAACATTAACCCCTTTGGAACTATTGCCTTATACAGCACATTTTGCTTTCCTGTCAGACAGATATATTCTGCTTTCAGCAACTGCACAGAGGAAACATGCAGAGGTAGTGGACTTCATTTACTAGATGTGAAACTTTCATCAATGCCTCTCGAGTTTGAGTACAAGCTGCAGAAGTATTTCCTACAACTGTCTCAGTGGGTCTGTTTCTAATTGGTTTGAGACGACTTGCTCCACATTTTTACTGAATCATTAACAGACCCTTCACCTCAACAGTAAGGCATCATTTCTTCCTCTCAAATTGGTGTTGTCGAAAATTCATTTGCATCTGCAGCACCTCATTAAACTGTCTGGCTATGAGTCATGTGTCAAGTCTAGGAGACAGCACTTTGCATCCACAATTGCCCATTAGAGTAGAACTACTCTCCGAGAACAGATTCAAGTGTAGGTGGACAGTGCCTGCACTCTCAGTATGCAAAAAAGGACTTTTTTAATGATTAATGTGAGTAGGAAATTTAGCAGATGAACAACCCTGAGCACTTTTGAAGAGGGTGTGACACCATTTTGGGATTACACTCTGTGCAGTGCCAAATCAAAGCAGCCTGGTCATTTCCACCAGGAACATGATGTGTAAAGTCAGGCTGTCACTTGCCTTAATGTGATACTGCCATGTTTCAACCCCCTTTTAGTCAAAACCTGTAACTGCAACCTACTATCCACAAAGGTCTCAGGAGACTGAAAGAGGAAATAGGTTGGCATTTTGGTCGGCACGGACCAGTTTGGGCCAAAGGGCCTGTCTCTGTGCTGTAGGACTCTATGGCTAGGTCAGCAGCCATCTTAGGAAATGCCTCAGATGAGGCTGATCCTTTCTTCAATACAGCAGAAAGATTATAAGGGATACTTCATCCAGTTGAGATTGTAAAGTCCATACATCTCCCTAATTCCAACTTTGTAGTCATTAGGATACCAACCTTTGTGGACTTTCATTTTCTCCTCATCAGTTTTATTTTTACTTAAGAACCTGAGAAAAAAGAGCACATGAAGACCATTTGTCTCCTTGAGCCTGATCTGCCATTCACTACAATTGTGAGTGATTAGTCTCAACTGTACTTTCCCCGCACCTCTTGATTCCCTGAGAGACCGTAAATCTGTCTCTCTCAGCCGTAACTGTATTTGATGATGCACCATCTGTAACCCTTTCAGGCAGAGGATCATAGAACTCTACAGCGTGGAAACAGGCCCTTTGGCCCAACAAGTCCACACTGACCATCTGAAGAGCATTCCACCTAGACCCACCCATTTACCCTATCCCTGTAACCCTGCATTTCCCATGGCTGACCCACCTATCCTGCACGTCCCCAGACACTACGGGCAATTTAGCTTGGCCAACCCGCCTTACTTGCAAAAACCGAAAAAAAACTCTGGATGCTGGAAATCAGAAACAAAAACAAGAGTTGCTAGAAAAGCTTAGCAGGTCTGGCGGCATCTGTGAAGAGAAATCAGAGTTAACATTTCAGGTCGGGTGACCCTTCCTCAGAACTCAGTTAACTCTGATGGCTTTCACAGATGTTGCCAGATCTGCTGAACTTTTCCAGCAACTTCTATTTGTGCACCAAACTTGCACGTCTTTGGACTGTGGAAGGAAGCTGGAGCACTCGGAGGAAACCCACGCAGACATGGGAAGAATGTGCAAAGTCCACACAGACAGTCGCTCGAGGCTGGTATAGAACTGGGTTTGCTGGCACTGTGAGGCTGCAGTACCAACCAATGAGCCATTGTGCCGCCCCAGAAGTTCTGAAGAGGGGTCACTGGACCCAAGACATTAACTCTGCTTACCATGTGGGCAGTACAGTGGTTGTGGGTGGCACAGTGGCACAGCGGTTAGCACCGCTGCCTCTCAGCACCAGGGTCCTGGGTTCAATTCCACCTTCAGGCGACTGCCTGTGTGCAGTTTGCACATTCTCCCCATTTCTGCAAGGGTTTCCTCCCACAGTCCAAAGATGTGCAGGCTAGGCAGATTGGCCATGTTAAATTGCCTATAGTGTTCAGGGATGTGTAGATTAGGTGGGTTACAGGGAAATGGGTCTGGGTGGAATGCTCTGAGGGTTAGTGTGGACTTTTTGGGCCAAAGGGCCTGTTTCCACACTGCAGGAATTCTATGATTCTCTCCATAGATGCTGTCAGACCAGTTGAGTTTCACCAGCACAACATCAGAGGAGCAGGAAGGCTAATGTTTTGGGTCCAGACCCTTCTGACCTGAAACGTCAGCTTTCCTGCTCCTCCCTTGCTGCCTGGCCTGCTGTGTTCCTCCAGCTCTGCACCGTGTTATCTCAGACTCCAGCATCGGCAGTTCTTACTAACCCTTCAGAATCCTGTGTGTTTCAATGTGTTTACAGATTTGAGCCTTAACACAGGACTAGAAAGTTTGAACACATTTTTACAGATTGTCACAAGACAGTAAGGTTCAGCATTTGTTTGTAATGTTCCACAGTTGTCTTTGCTTTCCTCCTCCCATGAAGGGGCGGACTACCTGAATTGGTCTACACCACTAAGTATAAATTTGCTCCTTCCATTCTCAACTAACTGTCAATTAGCATGCTATCTAATCTAATCTTGTTGCTTCTTGGTACATTTGCCTCTATGTTTCCCAATCTACTATCTGTGTATCTTTGAGTATGCCTCTCACTGGAAACTCAGGATTGACTAACGTCCATATATACATCATTTGCACTTACTATGTATAGAATGCCTAAGTTATACATGATATGTCTGTACTCTGGAGTACATTTATTTTATGTGTTATGCCTGTTTTGTGCTTGTACAGTGTTTGCACTACATATATATCAGACATGATTTAGATATCTGCAGCATCTGCAAATTCCGAGCTTGTCCTAGTTTCAGGTACCTTTCAAGTATTTGTTAACACCAGAGAGAGTTGAGAGCTTTTCTTAAAACAACTGAAACATTAGTCACTAATTATCCATTAATGTTTTAAATTGCTGTTTGATTTCTTTATTCTCTGCCCAGTAATTTTCGAATTATAATTTTGAA